GAGCTAGAAATGAATAGACAGGTGTTCTCTAGGAATCTCTAGGTCCTCCAGTGTGACTCTATAGTCAGCTTCCTCCAGAAATCATTTATTTCAATAGGGTTGTTTGCTATTATCTGCACTTTCACCTTTTTTATAGTAAATCAGGGAATGTACCCGCCGCAGATATGGGGGTCATATGTGATATAGTGGTTTGAGCATTGGACTGAGAATCTGGAGACTAGGGTTTGATTCCCATTCAGCCATGAAACCCATTGGATGACCTTGGACAAGTCACAGGCTGTTAGACTCAGGGGAAGGCAATGGCAAACCTCCTCTGAAAAACTCTTGCCAAGAGGATCCCATGATAGGTTCGCTTTAGGATTGTCAAGTGATGGAAACAACTTGAAGACACAGAACACACACACACACTGTATATTAACTGCTCACCCATCCGACTACCCAGTCCAGTCACAATGGCAGTGAGATTGGTCAAACAGTGAATTAATTGGCAGTCTACATGGAAGCAGTTTATACAGAGTGTCACTTGTTATTACTGTGTTGGGAACAAACAGGCTTGCCTTCATCTGGCTGGGAGTTGCTTTTCCCCAAGAGCAAAGGGGCAGCTTGCCAGCTACTAACACTCTGCCCAAGGCAAAAGGGAGCTATCCTTTGGAGTTACTCTGAGAGTAAAAGCAGGAAGGACTGATGCTGTGAGAAGGAGGTGTTGCTGGGTCAGATGCTAACTGTCTACTACCAGGTGTATCAGCTTCTCAGTGTGGCTTCTTGTGGTGGTGGTGGGTGTCTGGGGTAGGGGCATTTGTTTTTCATGTCAGCAAACTGGCAATTGGATATACACTTAAGGCCAATGCACAGTGGGAAGCTGCTGCTGCTTCCAACCCCATCCTGTGCCTACAAGACCAACAGAAAACAAAGGAGCAAATACACAATCAATGGTCCATAGAGTATAGTAAGCCATCCATATCCACAGTTTTTTAAATCCACCGATTCAAGCATCCATAGCTTGCAAATACTTTAAAAAATATAGATTTCAAAAAGCAAACCTTGATTTTGCCATTTTATGTAAGGGATACCATTTTATCCTGCTGTTTCTCTTATTGCAGTGTCCACCTCACTTTTTAGAATTTGGGGTTCAT